GGATTTGGCGGGACAATACGATTTTCTTTCAAAATCAAAAATATTCCAAGGTGTTATTCATCGGGAAGTAGTATCATGGGATAAATTTAGATATATCATTGCATCCCACGACCGGTTTGATTATCAATACGCAATCAGCCTGGTACTGGTCAACAGTAATAAATAACAGACGCTAATAAGACACAGGATCCAATCAGGTTAATTATCGTCTTTTATTGTCTTAAGTCTCAGCGTACCTTGTAAGATAATCATTCCCGTTTGATTTTGTTTGAATCGAAATTAAACGGAGGAGGGGGGGGGGTGAACATTTAAATCTTAATTTTATTCCTTACAATAGTTAAGAAAACAAACAAAAGACCATTCACTTATCCATCAATTTCCGTGCTCTGCGGATGTTTGGCTACTTTGATTACAGAAAAGTCTGAACATCATCCAGGACTCTGATTGCAGCAGAAGTCGTCTAGGACTCTGATTATAGAAAATATCGTCTTAGCCTTTGATTACAGAGATCGTCTAGGTTTTCATATTTAGACCCACCTTGTGGATTGAGTGTATCATGATCACTTCCAGAGTGATGGGGGCAGGGGGTTCACATTAAACAAAATTGGTCATCACTTAAGTTTAAAAAAAAGCTCAGAATGATGAAAAACTGCACGATTTTAAATAAATTTTGGAGAAAGGCGTTCTTGAACCCCCCCACCCCCTTCTCTGACTAGGGGTCTGACTTTGTCAAATGTCATGGAGGTCGCAATTATATTCATAGAAAAGCATAAATTAAATAACTTCCCCACATTTTTACGTCTTTGCCTCTCTATGTTTGATTTTTATTTTCTTATCCCTCAGGAAAAAAACTAAAAATAGAAGGACATGTGATTTGATCGTATATCCTATACCCCAAAGGTCTCAAAAGTTTTAAATTATTTTTGAAAAACCTCTACCACAGAAATAACACCGGAGGAGATGGAAATGACTTTGAGCCTTGCAAGTTAATGTTTCAAAAGTACACAAGCGTTTGCGTGTATACTTCGCGTGGCTAAAGTTCTAAACTAACTGTCAAAACAAAACAAAGAATGCAATTTTATTGGCGATCATGCACATGCTCTCTTCGAGAGCTTTACCATACTTAAGTCAATTATCAGCAAACTTTATGAATTAAAATCAATTGTAGGCTATATGGAATAAGCTAACTCCTGTTAAAGATTAGTATAGACAAAACACATAGATAGAACAAAAAGTCCTTTGAAAAGTATATCAAAATGAAAAATGGATAATAAATATTTCAAACATATAAATCCGCTTATTAAAGAATAACAATTAACACAACTGGGAAAAATGTTCATGCCTTATAATCAGCCATATCGATGCAGATAAAACCGTCTAGATAGAACAAGTAACAATAACGAAAACAATTAGCAGATCCATGCCAATTAATTAATTATCGGACTTTGGATTTTTCTTAGTTTATACTCGCTTCAACAACTGCGCACCCCTCTCTTGTCAGTAAACACAGGTCGGAAGAAATCATCATGAGATTTTGACATTGTACTTTCATCAACTGTAACATAAAGACCGGCGTGTTATAATCTTGACGACTCATTTAACCTGCCATATATTGCCCGTGTTGTCGTAATTTTCAAATTTGATAAACAATTTTCGAAACCGTATTTTTAGATGTACTTTTTCATGTAGATTTCAAATTATGACATCACTTTGACTGAATTTTGAATATTTAATGACGTAAATCAAAATTATTTCTACTCGCATCTAGTCTACCTTGTATTTCAAGGGGAATCTGTGAAACAGAATACAAATATTATACGATATATTAAGAAGGGAATGATAAAGTATGTAAAATTCCTGCTGAATATACAATATGCATGTATGAATCTGGGAAATCTCTCGGTGTATCGAATGTTACGACGATCGGAACATTCACTGGTTTAATCCAGGAGGTTTAATCTCCCGACGTGATATACAGCAAGTACTCCCGGGCAAGTACAATCCTTTGGAATACCAAAGCGTTAGATAAAGTGAGACTCTAATAGATCAGAATGTCCCGACACGGAAATCAGAATGACAGAAATATAATTTTGAATAATTTTGGGAGGTAGGGAATCGCACAATTTTGTAATTCCAATGCTGCCCTTTGTGTTTTATCAACGTTATACAACGATGCAAACAAAACAGATCGTATTTAAATCTTATTCTAATTTTAATTCCTACATGAAATCTCAGCCCCCCCCCCCCAAACACTAGTAACATTTTAAAGACTTTATCTAATTCAAACAATCAAATCAAATCAAAATTAAAACATGCAAACAGGTATATCTGCTTATGGAGGAATATCCGAAGAAATGTGTGACGCTGGTTTTCAGTCCTTAATCGCCGCTTAATACCTGAAAAGCAACTTATCTGCTTATTATAAGTTATCAAATAATTTAACAATTAAACAGAAACAATGCATGCCAAACATTTATCTATAATTGTTATATTATGGTTATTTTATAGTTTGCACTTGTATCGAGCAACTGTGTATCGGGCTGTGTATACGGGCCCTTTCTCAAACCCAATATGGGATTTAACACGTCACTTGAGGCAAGATTCATAAACTATATCTCCACGGGCTATAATTTGAAGAACGCCACTGACGGATCTGTCCCTTTTGGATGGGCCGTATTGTTCTTGTGTGTATCTTACCCACGGGAACCTACAAAACAGATATAATTGCATTGTGAAAAGGAAGTCCCGTCTCTATAAAACTTCCTAGAATAAGATTCAAGCAGTGTAAACATCCATATTTGCAAAAATAACGATAAACCACTGTCATTAAGTAGTTGTAGTACCATATTCGTATAGCTTTTGGGAAAGACGATAAAACGCAAAATATGATTGGAATATTTGCTGAAGTCTGGGATCGATGATCTGACAGAAAATTTAAGGAAGGCGTTGATCATGACTGAGCAAAATGAAAGAGCAAAGTAATAATAATTGCAATTTATGTTTATCATTTCAACTATTCCGAGTCAGAGAAATCAAGAATAAAAATGAAACTTTCCTTAGATATCTGTCGTATTGGCTTTACCGGGAAGGCAAGTTCTGGGGGGGGGGGGGTAGCGCTTGTTTAAATTTTAAATTATTAAGATCAAAATGGTAAGGTCATATTGACGAATTTCCAAAATGACAAATTATTGTGCAGTGCGTTAAATTGGAATATCTTTTGATTCTTTTCCACTGGGGTACGCTAATATCCGATCTTAGTACTTCAATATTTTTGTTTGAAAGCAAGATCTTTAATGTAAACATCCGCATTTCAATATATCCTGAGACTATCATAGAATAATTCTGTGAATCCCAAGCACAACCCATTACAATATCAGTCTATAAGTCAATCTGTATTACAACAAATGAATAATAATCCCGAAAACAGTTCAACTATATTTGGCTTTGACTTATTTGTTTGAGAGGGATACGAAATCTAGGAATAAAAGTCACCGACGGTCCAACTTCAACGAACAATCTACATGTACAGACTTATCTTACTAATTTAAATAATTATTTGTCCTCATCGTGATTTGCCCGTCTGATTATACAGGTTTTACTTTCAATTTAGCCTCACTCAGACACACAAATAAAATGTAAAATTATAACATCATATTATAAAAACATTATCCAACCTCGAATTAACACTAATGAACACGATGTGATGACTTTATTACTATCTATGAGGAACCATTAAACAATTATGAACGAAATCCAGATACGTACAGTTTATTCATGAATTTGGAATATAATGTCGCAATTCATTCTAAATATCTGTTAAATATCGAATCTCTTACATTACGAATCTCTTATTAAAATATATTCTATTTATGCAATATTGTTTTTCCCGTCATCCGTGATTTCCACATGTTGATTGTATTCTATTTTATCAAATGATCGGAAAGTAATACCATGAAATGAGTAGCATTAGACATGTTAGATTATACGCCCTTGAATTACACTTATAAACACGATGTGATGATTGTTTCATTTACTTAGAGGAACGCATTAACAGATTAATCAATTATGAACGAAATCCAGATACGTACGATGTAAGGATTCATATAGAAGGTAGTTTGCAAATGAATCCTGCCTTCAGGAAGGCAGGATTCATTTGTAAACTATATTGCATATGAATCCTGTATGATTCCTGGAGGCTGGATTCATTTGTAAACTATATTGCATATGAATCCTGTATGATTCCTGAAGGCAGGATTCATTTGCAAACTACCTTCTATATGAATCCTGTACGAATCCTGAAGGCTGGATTCATTTGTAAACTATATTGCATATGAATCCTGTATGATTCCTGAAGGCAGGATTCATTTGCAAACTACCTTCTATATGAATCCTGTACGAATCCTGAAGGCTGGATTCATTTGTAAACTATATTGCATATGAATCCTGTATGATTCCTGAAGGCAGGATTCATTTGTAAACTATTTAAACAGCGAATCCTGTATGAATCCTGGAGGCAGGATTCATACAGGATTCATATGTGCATATGAATCCTGTATGAATCCTGACTCCAGGATTCAGTGGTTTGATTCACATTTTTTGCTGTGTATGATTATACGAGGAGCAAAAATCTAAATATCAAACATGTATGCCACATTATTCTATTTAGTAAGCATAGATTACGTAATTTCAAAAGTTTACGCTTCCACACATGCGGCTGAGTTTTCTAGGTCTAATATTCCCTAATGAATTGAATAAACGTTTCAAAACTACCGTTTACGTATACGGTAAAACCTGCGGTTTTTAGATTTGATACTTTATGTCATATAAATGCGAGAAACGGCGATTTCTCTCATTTAATACAAAATGGCCCAAAATTGCTTCGTTACGAAGCTTTTTGTCAAAATGCTTCGTAACGAAGTATTTCAACCGTCCTGTGTAACAGGGGTCACTATCATTTACTATTAAATTAAAATGTACAATAACGTTTTTTTTTCATTTAGACCCAGATGTATTAGAGAATGCTTGTTCAGCAGTCCTAGTATATGGCATTACAGATGCTGCAGCGACATATATCAATGGCATATATAGTCGAGGCAGCGACAGGAACAACAGCCCGTCCTATCTACGTAATAATGGTGAGTACTCGTCGCAAGATCCTGGGGAACTCCCTGTAACACCCGAGAACTATCAAAAATTACAAAAATAACAACACGTAAAAACAAATTGTGCTTTTAAGATATTGTAAGTGTGTTGAAGTATTAGGATTCTATATACCGTTAGAAACCTTGGAATACAAGCTTTATAGGAACTCTATGTATTATGTGTTCCGCGTCGTGTATTCCTTATATGGAACGCTTGAACATGATGAATATCTTGACGACGAATTAAGGCATTTTTGTTTTGTAATCGTATAAAGCATTACCAGTATATGATAACAGAATATTTCATTGTCACTCCGTCTTTAATAAGCAGTAAAGTGAATATACAGCCAAATTAGTATATTGTTGAACATAAGATATAAACATTAAGTGTTTTGGATATCATTTATGACGTCATAACACGACTGATAACAACAGGACGATCTTAACAAAAGACTGACTAAGAATCTCCTTTACGTCGTAAAATAGGGAACGTACATTTTTGTACCACTTTTTTATTTTTAAAGTATGGTGCTTTACTAATTATTAATCTTATTGAAAATTCACAGGCATTAATTTGGCAAGGACAATATTTTGAAAATCAAGTCAAATTTTAAAAATATTATATCTGAATCCATTAAAATACCCCTCAAAATAGACTATGCGCAAAAATAATGTAAAAATGTGCTCTTGTACATTCTTGTACCACTTTTTGTATCTGGCTTTACGCAGGGTAAAAGCCCATAAGTATATATTTTGAGGAGATATTCTTTAATTTCGCCAGGACAATATTGTCCATATCAAAAATCTTTTTCTTTTGTCTAGTAATAAAAAAGTTAGAAGCAGTTAACTTACCCCATGTGTTTTACGCCAAAAAATCTTACACTTTCCCCGAAGAAATCTAATGCGTTCTATACAAAATATTTGAATTGTAACCGTCAATGTGTTATGACGTCATAATTTAACATGGTCCAGTGAATGTAGGAGCAAATTTTGAAGCATTTTGATCAACGTTTTACCGAAATATTCATGATTTAAGGTATTTTTACAAGGAATTACGTTACATTATTACAACGTTAATTTGCAGTTTCCTCGCATAGAAAACCGTAGAACGCTGCGTTATGCTAGATTTCTAATACATCTTAATGCTATAGTCAAAAGGATGAGGGGTTACCCTTCAAAATGATATATAATAGGTTATGTAACTCTAATGTACAGCGAAATGGTAAAAGGATGAATATTAAAAATGGCGTAAAATAAGCGATTTCCCCAGGATCTTGCAACGAGTATGAGAGTTTTTAAGCACACCGGAATAGCCTGACAACGGTAAAGTCAGATACCGTTGCCACAAATGGCAGACAAAACCGTCGCTTCAACTCTTAAAACACTTGGTCCTCATTTCCACCCTTGGTATACGCAGCTAACGAAAATTGACCGGTACGGGTCAAAAGCTGGACCGGTACGGGTTAACGGTTTTATTTGTCGTCGCTGCGTATACCAAGGGTGCATTTCATGGGACTTTATCGTCGCTAATTCTGTGCATGTATTAAGCTCTTGTGATGATGTATCATATGAAATCCCAATTTCGATCAAATTGGGTCGTGAATCGCCACAATATAGCGTCTTCGATATCGTCAATGACAACGGAATCTGAATTTGAAATAATTTACAAAGACAATGGCATATGGAAATACAGTGTCCGTTGTCTTATTTTGATCGGTTAAATTAAAGACATTATTTCGATGGTAGAGAATTATTAACTGTACAATAAGTATAACGACACTTTGATTGATTGTTGTTCCAAAGGAATTTAGTCTAGGTGCATTATTAAACATACAGTTCATGAAAATCTAATTGAAGCGACGGTTATGTCCGCCATTTGTGACAACGGTATCTGATTTTACCGTTGTCAGGCTATTCAGGTGTGATGAGGGTGATAGATAGAATGTACGTTAGATGACAGTGAAGTCATCTTGTTAAGCCATGGTATTTCTAAGCTTGAATGAAGTACTACCAAAACATCCAGCCCTTCAACATCGGATTTCCCTGCTAGAGCAGATATGACCTTCTTATTCTTCGAACACTCAGGGCTCAAAAACTCGTTCTACATTGGAAAAATATTCTAAAACATAGAGTCATCTTTTTAATTAATATAATGTCTTATCCAGAATGTGTAGCATCACCTGGAGATTGTAATAGTAATCAAATGATTGATACTTGAACCCATTTTCAGATGGTTCTAATTTATACAAGTTCTTTTTATGTAGTTTTGTGGGGCACTGTAATACAGTCTACATTCAAATATGGGTACTTTACATTCCTCCCAATGATGTAACAAATCAACAGAATTTATATTTCTGGGCCCAAATCTGAAAATAAGGGCTTAATTTCTTAAAAATCGGCCCAAAAAAGTAGTGTCCCTTAATTTTTGAGGCCCACACCCCTCATCCGCCATATAACACCACGTTACGTTGCACTCTGGGTATGATTGACAATCCAGTAATTAGAAAGAGCGTAAGTTAATCAAAGAGCTGACTGATCATACCAGTTCTTCTCATGCATCTCCACCTAACATACCTGACAATGTTTTACAGCTCCACCAAAGCTAAAGTTATATAATGATGGTGTGTTCGATGAAAGATGGATCATACAGAATATTGATACACATCAGGTCGTTGCCAAGATATCAGCTACTGACGTATTACCTAACAGTATCATGGGCCAATCAGATTGGTTCGTCCGAACGAATGATGGATTTATAAAGAGTGACGTTAATATCGGTTGTAAGGGTAAGGTGACAGTTTCTATTCGTTATAGTTATGTATAATTTGGAAATCACAGCCTGGTTTTGCTATACAAAACAAGGTAAACGTTTATGACACATTCAGTGATATTTGTACGTGGTTCACAGGGTTTTTATTTTGTTAATCTTCGGTTTCGATTTAGAATTTTATTTCGTTTTTAAGATTATAATAGTTTCAATATAATATAACTAGAAATCATCTTCGCACGCTCGGTCTTCACTGCGTTCATTCAGCGTAGAACCTACGGGAGCCGAGTGAACTCAATTTCAGACTCCATGCTCCAGATTTGTTTTTAGCTTGCAAACAGATAATGCAAAAGAAAAATTCATATCTATACATACAGGGTGGTCCAAAAAATGGGACACTCGTATTTCAAAATAAATATTGGTTTTCTTGTTGAAAACATGTCATATTATATACCAGTGGATAGGAAATTTATTTATCTTTAATTTGGTATATCATAAGTTCAAATTTATTATAATGTCTGTCAACCAGCGTCCACAATATAAATGATGTCATGTCAATGTTTCAAAACGGGTTTTCCAAAAAGATTTGTCAACTTTATTTGTGTAAACAGACGTTCAATATATCCATCATTTTAATCAATTATGTCCCTCAATTTCGGCCTAAACTGGTCAATAGCATCATTGATATGCTATTGAGACAATTAGGCCTAAACTGGTCGATAGCATCATTGATATGCTGTTGAGACAATGAATTTCACAATTCTATCCTTAATAAGGGACTGAGTAGATGTAAGGGGTTCATGGTACCAGTTCTGTTAGTTCTCCCAATATGTGGCAGTCGCAGACATTGACATCGGATGATCCAATTATGTTGTTTTCTACCATCCTGATATGAGCTCATTTTCGAATCATTACATTTTCCAACAAGATGGGGTTCTAATCCATAGATCCCACAAGAGTGTCAAATGTTTAAGGAAAATGTGCCTAGATTCATCTCCCTTAATCACTTCCCTTCCCCCCTCCGATCACCCAACATCTGCGACTACCACGTACTGGAATAACTAACAGAATTGGTGTATTGGTGTAACATGAGTCTTTTAAATCCATTCAGTCCATTAAGAACAGAATTATTGAGAAGTGAAGTTCATTGTCTCAACAGCATATCAATGATGCTATCGACCAGTTTAGGCCTAAATTGAGGGCTATAATTGATCAAAATGGTGGACATATTGAACGTCTGTCTATGTAAATAAAGTTGACAATATAATTTGGTTTTTGCAAGTTTTAGAAAACCCGTTTTGAAACGAAAATGACGTCATTTATATTATGGACGCTGGTTGACAGACATTATAATAAATTCAAACTTATCATATACCAAATTAAAGATAAATAGATTCGCTATCCACTGGTATATAATATGACATGTTTTCAACAAGAAAATCAATATTTATTTTTGAAATACGAGTGTCCCATTTCTTTGTTTTTGGACCACCCTGTACATCAATAGACAGATTTCCAATATTTTCTTTGCTATTTTTTGACTTTGTATTATGTAAAGATAATATCATATCGATTTTTCGAAATTTAAAAGATTTTAATTCTAATTTCAAATTCGGAATTCTGAGAAAATTTCCTCTAATTATGCTACTAGTACCTCAAACATTAAATTTGAAGAACTTCTTTATTGACCTATTTTATGGACACTACATCTCAAAACTTGGTTAAAACAACGTAGCGTGTGACTGCAAAAGGCTAACACTATGAGCATACTCTGTATACTAAAGGAGCACGTACGTTATTGCAAACCATTTCAGACGGTCATGTCTTGTTATGTTATTTCCCCCATTGAAAAAACTCATGTTATCCAAGATTCAAGATTCAAGATTTTATTGTGTTTCAAACCAAACACTGTTTCAGCTCATTTTGGTCATCCAAATTTAGTATCTTTAAAGTCCCTGGAGTAATCCATTTTTCCATGGATCCATTAAAACATGTCTCAAAGCAGATTATAATTATGCATTCAACAATATTTAAATGCATTCAACAACATAATAAATGGTTGCACTTATAGTGAAAATTAGTTCAACTTTTTTGAAAAAGTATATTGATTGGTCCATTGCTCATTTAATATAACTTAGTCAGATTAACTTAAGCCAGGTGTAAAAGGGTAGGAGGTCCTCTCAAATTATGGTCCTACTCTCCATTGATTTATATGGTAACCTAAATACAACCCTTTCCCTTATTATCTTATACACAATCAGGGCCAGTAAGGGCCGTTTAAAAAGGGGACCATAATCCCCAGGGGACCATAATTTCTTTCACACCGGTATACACCAATGGGGCAAGTTGGGACCTCCATAGACTTAACATTGTGTGGGATCTCGTGGAACCTTTTGGGATTTTGCCCCATGAAGTCCGTGGGACTCCATAGGACTCCGTCGGATTTTGCCCCATCGAGTCCCACGAGGTCCCATGAGGTCCCATGAAGTCCCAAGTGGGACTTGGTGGGGCAAGTTGGGGCAAGATGGGGCAAAATCCCACGGAGTCCCATCTTGCCCCATTGAGAATGAACATGTTCATTCTTTCCATGGGGCAACGTGGGATTTTGATCATATGACGTATCACGTGACTTGCTTCATGGGACTCCGTGGGATCTGATGGAACTTCATAGGGCTCAATGGGGCAAGTTAGGATTCGATGGGGCACAATGATGGGACTCGAAGGGGCAAGTGAGATTTTGCCAAATTGGTGTACACCGGGCTTTAATTATCATTATATGCACTTTTCTTGGCCATGGAGATAATGAATGGGCCTAAAATACATACCCATTGTCACCATCAGAAAATTATAACTCAAATAAGAATCGTCTGAAATTATTTGCGATAACGTAAATGCTCCTTTAAAAGAGTGTAGTGTGATGCGTAAAACATGAATAGGAAGTCGGATTTCATTTCTGACCCTTTTAACCGTTTTCTAAAAAATGGTAAGAGTAATCAAAAAACGATTTGTCTAACGGAATTAGCTTTATCTAGAAGGAACATAATGAAAAACACTAAAGGACGACTGAGAAAAGTGGTAAAATAGTGAAAGCTCAATATTTGACCCAGTTCTTGACCTTTGACCTAATGATAAAATTTGATCCCATTTCCCACCAACTAGATACTATACCTTAATTGACCATATAATAGTCTTGATTTAATACGTCATATTTTGTTGAGAAAACGTGACCAGTAAAATAAGAATGAAGAAGAATAAAGAAAAGAGGCAAAAACAGTAGACTCCAGGACTTTTTTCTCTGTCAACAAACCGGTGTTATAAGTAGATTAACCCATGTTATAAGTAGATGAACCCATGTTATAAGTAGATGAACCATGTTATAAGTAGATGAACCATGTTATAAGTAGATGAACCCATGTTATAAGTAGATGAACCCATGTTATAAGTAAATGAACCCATGTTATAAGTAGATTAACCCATGTTATCAATAGATTAACCCATGTTATAAGTAGATGTACCCATGCTATAAGTAAATTGATCAATAGAATGGTAAGCTAGGGTAAGAACCATTGAAAATCTCGTCATTCGTATCCAAAAGTTAACCATTTTGGCGTTGTTTTTTAATCTTTGAAAAAACGCTGGACGATACACTAAATTATTTTTCATAATATTCATTCCAGTTGACGGTGGCTGGGGTGCTTTATCGAACTACGGCACATGTTCTAAATCATGTGGTGGCGGAACCAAAACTGCCACCAAGGAATGCAATAACCCTATACCATTCGGGGGCGGGCAGGAATGTCTTTTACCCGATGGGACTCGCGGAACCAGCTACACGGAAACAGCAGAATGTAACACAGAGGCCTGTCGTAAGTTGCACTTGTTAGTCAAAACGTTGGTTTTCATCGTCTTGTATCATGTCTGTACTCTCCCGTATAATCTCACCTCCCGGGATAATCGTTCCTACTTTCTTACTGTTGGGATTCGAAAGAACTGTTTGTAGCGAGATGAATGCTTAGGTAGGTCCTGGAAGGAAGTTGTAAGTGTTGACAATATCTTTGAAATGGCTCAAAAGATAAAAGTTCGGAGATTCAAGAACCTTATTTATTATTTATTTATTATTTATTATTATTATTATTAGGTATTTCATAAGTTTGGTGTTCATTTTTTGAGAAATATTTGTGTGCTTTTACTGATATGCATGTTTTATAATTACCTTTTTACTCCACATAATAGACACGAGGTACAAGAACGTTTTTAGAATCTTTTGACTTACAATTTGAAAAACAGGAAGTCCAAACAACTCATTCTTGACCTGTGTTACCATATTCATCAAATGTCATGTTTACCTGAAGGGGTGTGCACCAGTGATGTCGACTGTTCACACGAACCCTTCAAGAAAACGTGCCGCGTCCAACCTAATAGCGCTGGAATTAGAGTGTGTGGGGATCCTCACATTAGACAGACCATAAAGAACTCAGATAGACCACTCTGTTACGATTTCGTTGGCCAGCCTGGCAAGACGTACCTTTTTATAAAAGATAAGGATTTTGGTAGGTGGTTAGTCTCCGTGTGAGAGTATAGTCATTAATGATCCTACTTTTTGTCGTCCTTTCTATTCTGGATTCAGTACTTTTTTAATAGAAAGTTGTATTAGGTAATGTGGTAGACATGAGATAACTCAAATTACATTTGTACGTCGGTGTAAAAGAAATGTTGTCCTAATTTGTACCAAAACTGGGTAAGAGGAAGTGAATTAGGTCATCGTATAAAATGGGAATAGAAATTATAAATACTAAGAGAATAAACACTACCACACAGATGGAAAAGAAAGTATGGTCGAAAATGAATTGTACTCCTTCTTCTACACAACCTTACTGGCGCTGGTTGGGTGTATCACAGTGCAGTAACAATATCATTCCATTGATGTACAACATGTATTTATGAGTAACGAAATGTAAAATATATAGTTTTGATTCAATAAAAGAACAGTGAAATATCCAATTTCTAGATTGTACATCGCTCCAAAACGCAATATGTTGACATATATTGTTATCACATTTTTAAGCTCTAATATAAAGTTTATGTAAATAAAAATTGTTTTTTTCTGCGTTATATCAAAGAACAATCATTTAGTTAAAAAAAAGGCGATTGCGGGATTCGAACCCGGGCCTCCCGCTTGCTAAGGGAGGATTGTACCCCTAGACCAACGTGTTCTTATGAATGGTGAAAGTAATTGAACGCTACTTATTTTGAATGCTATGATTCGGAAGTGACGTCACATTCTTCATTTAGAAACCTTTCCAAAATCATATCGTCGGCGCCGATCGAAGCAATTCAATGAATAATCTTTGAAATGACACATTTATCGTAAGTATTTCTACACAAGATTTGCCCCATTTGTTCATCATTCTATAATCTTTCATTAAGCTCAAAATGATAAAGTTCACCCCCGAAACAACCCAAGATTGCGTTTTGGAGCGATGTGCAGGTTTAAATGGGCTTTATTTCAATAATCTCGTTGGTGGGATAGGATAAGGACATAAATACTCTTCCAATTTTTCAGAGATAACCTCTCGGTTTGTGGACAACAATGCCACAGACGACGACGGCAAACTTGTTGAATACATCAGTTCAGTAAACATAAAGAAAGGACCAGTTGCTATGACATTTGATCTTAACACAATCAACATCGCAATAGAGGGCAAACAAATAGAGAAGACAAAATGGACCATGGGAAAGAAAGCGTTGCCTGGTGGTATCTGGATGACCATAGACAAAAAGAAAGCGAACGTGTTTCTAGATGATGGGAACACTACAGTTAATATCATAAGAAAGGGCGCGTCACGAGGCAATCCTTTTCTGAATTTTGGATTGTCTGAAAAGGTCATTTCCACAGAGGCAAATGGAATTTTGGGTATAACTTTAAGTATAATTTTTAATTAATGCCCTCTGGTCAAAGGTAGAACAAACGCACATCCAAATGAAATACATGTACAAATATATGCACACGTTATATTATTTCACATTGCAACAGTACGTGGTAGTATAATATAATATGACCTATGATGAAAACAATCTTGTATCTTGTTGTTTAGCAAAGTAGTAGACAAGCTATCAAAAAAGCATTTTACATTGCAGGGGACTTGCGTAATAAAGTAGTCTATGCCCCAGGAGCATCTGGAAAGAATGGCACCATTCGTTGGGCCGGCGTCTCCTTCCCCGTGCACGATGATGGAACGACCTGTCTTAAACTGGATCCTTTCTATGAACTGAAGTTCAACATCCTGCTTCAAATCTTCCAAGTTGACTAAATGATTAGATTCATTTGTCTGAAGTGTTGGAAATTAGTCTTGCATCAAATTTCCTCGATTCTTTAAATTCATTTTTGTTGAAAATCAAAATGACCTCATCACCAGGATTCAGGTTTTACTACTTTTTAAGGCAAGATTCCTCAAATTCTAAAAAGACAAGAAAATGGTTCTATACATGTGCTATAGGTCACCGCACATTTAATTTGCCATATTCGGTTCAGTGCAATTACAAAAATCTTCCTTTTCCAAGTCACTGATGGTATAAATATTACGACAACAAAGTAACATCACTATGATACAAGACTACTAACCAGGGCTGCAGATGGACAATATTTTCAATAGACAATGGATACAAATCAAGCATCTAACAAGAACAGATTATCTGTCATTTTTGGCTCAACCTGTAGATCTATGAATTTGGCAAAATAAATTTTAATTGGCATTCCGTTTTATTTTATTTGCGACTGCCCCACAGTATACCTGATCATCAGATCATAGATGCAATGAATTTTACTTGGAAAGATGTCAATCTTATTTCAAATATTTCAAGACTGAAGAAAGTCAAGACAGGATCACTGGAGGCCCACTTACACTTCTTAATGTATACATTATTTATTATGTGTGCAAGAATCATGTTGGATTTTTGCAGAAAGAATATATATGTATTATTATGGTATATAAAAATAAGATGTGAGGTTACATCAAATGAACCACACACACACATGGAGCTTTTAAAGAGAATATACACGGCGTATAACCCAAACGCTCCTACATGCACGACGGAGCGTTTCATTTACGCGGAAACGCTCCGGAGCGAAATAAAATGGCGGCTAATGAAGATTCCTCTATGACCGTAAGTATTGTTTCTCTCGTTTCTCTTACATAGTAGCCCGGACAGAATTGTTCAATGGTCACTTTTTCTTTAATAACTTTTTTAATTTCCAGTATTATCAAAATCTGATTACATATTTGAAAACTAGAGTAAAATTCTGACATACAAAATAAATATTTAAGGAACACTTCTTAATTTATTGATATTATAGGCGCTCAAAGTATGAGTGACGCAAATACATAATCCACCATTTTGTCTCATATTTGTTAAAAATGGCGGCATATTTAGTGGTTTGAATGATCAGTTGAAAGTTAATATTTAAGAAATGGCATAGGCCTATGAAATCAGGTAGACTGCTGCTTTGGTATGAGGTAATGACTGCATTTATAACATTTTGTTCTATTTTGACTTGTATGTATACAAGTACTAAAAAAGGTTTGTACATTGTATGTACAGTATATTGGCAAGGTCGCAGGACTTAAAGTTTTTTGGCCATTCCATTGTTACTCGTATCGGATTAGCAACCCTAGATCGTTTAACCTTTGCAACTATATGGTCATACTGCCACAGTTTGTAATGTCTTTCCCAGTCACACACCTCTAACCCATCCTTGGCATGCATGTGAATTGTTCTTGAGCTTTTCAATGGCCTCTGAGATGACTGTTTGGAGCTCTTGAAAAGATAGAGGACATACTCTCGCCACACCCCGCACATTGGAGCGCCACTTCTTCACATCCTCTTGAACACAACCCCGAACATTTCAATAGAGTTGATTTCATATACCCTTTGAGGGAGTTGACTTCTTGTATTTGATGATTGGTCAGTTGCTGCATTACATCAGGATTGTAATGGTGGCAGCATGGTCCTATAGTCCTGTGACAATCTTTAAATATTACCTTTCAACTGATCATTCAAATTCACAAAATATGCCGCCATTTTGAACAAATATGAGGCAAAATGATGAATTATGTATTTGCGTCACTCATACTATGAACACCTATAATATCAATAAATTGAGAGATGTTCCTTAAATATGTTTTTTGTATGTCAGAATTTTACTCTAGTTTTCAAATATGTAATCAGATTTTGATAATACTGAAAATTAAAAAAGTTATTAAAGAAAAGGTGACCATTGAACAATTCTGTCCGGGCTACTATCATATGTTATGGTGAAATATTATGTACCATTCGATGAACAATACCGTGAGCAAAGATCTTATTTATTCAACTTCTGGTGGTAAACTGTTATTTGCTTGATCAAAGCTCCGTAGTGTAGATCGAACGAATCTGAAGATGACGATTTGACCACAAATTACGAATTAAACTAGTATTTCTATGAAAACGTTAATATTTCTCTGAAAGTAGTAGATCACAAACTCGTATATTCTCATTTCTTAAAATCCCAGTCCAAATCCATTACTTGTTCTCAAGAAATCGCTTGTTTTCCTCGAAACGCTCCGTCGATTTAGAACACAATTTTAGAAACGCTCTTACCATTTTGTTTTGATATCATTTTCAGATTATTAGAGAATAGTTCCGAATCGAATCTATCTCTCAAAAACGTGTTGTACTTGTTAGGCAAATTGAAACATCTGAACCTGGTGGTGCTAAACGTGCAACTAGCTGATTTAAGCCTACATTAGATGATGTCATGCCTACATGTGTGCTAGATCATAAAACTATAGAAAAAAACGAAAATTAATATGTGAATGAACCTTTCTTCTTTTGATGCCAAGGGGTATAATAGATCTTAATTTCTTTCTCTTCCTAAAAAGGAAAGTCAAGCTATATATTTCCTAAACTGATCTAGACTACCGGAGCGTTTCCAGTTCACTGTGTTAACCAGATCGGAGCGTTTCTTGAATATGAGAATGTCATCATTTTTAAGACTGGATTTTTTTTCACTATTACGATAATGTATGGTGCGTTGAAGCATTGGAATTTGACTAAAATATACGTTGGTGCTCTAATCTTGGCTCAACTAATCACATGTAACGACAAAATGGGATTTGACCGGTAGAATGACAAATACGTTTTTGGATTTTGATAACTATACTGCTTCGTACACCTCTTCCTAATTGCTTCAAACGTCAACAGCCAGCCAAGTACAACATGAATATCACACCCATCGAATGGTATACTCGAAATATGTAACTCATACCTCTTATTCCCATTATTGGGGAAATCGTCAGACGGCTCATCATTCCCGCCAGCAAGTTTTCATACTCCGGAGCGTTTCTTTGTTTAATTTCAATAATGAAACGCTCCGTCGTGCATGTAGGAGCGTTTGGGTTATACACCGTGATATATGCATCTAATCATTCCATTCTCAACTAAGACCAAGATCATGTTCAGATTCCATAATATTGACAGAATTTGACTTCATGTTTGGCTCAGCTAAAATCAAGGTGTTGATGGAGTTTACATAACCTTATATGAGTATTTAATTGTGAAAAGTAAAGAGGTGATATTCTGCCCACACACTGATTACATATGGGTAACAAGGTATATGAACTTTAAGAATTAAATATTAGCCTACCTTTTTCTTGACAGTTTTTGTCTTATTTTGACATCCATTAGTCTGTTAAGGAAATGTTGACAAAAGTTTCTTGTTTCCTTGATCCTCAACATCTGGTAAGGTGTTGGAAAATACTTGTTAACTTAGCATGGTAGTAATTCCTGAAATGGTAAAATAATCAAAAGCATGCAGCAAACAATGTTGTATCAAAATGACTCCTTATAAAGTTAAACTCACCCAAAACTGAACGAGTCCAAGGTTTTAATACCACAAATAATTCCTGGAAATTTCAAAGCAATCAAATGAGCATTCTATCTTCAAATGCACAGACAAGAATAGTTAGACAATGATACCCTCCCACAAAAGCGGACAACAAAAGGTACAATAAAAAAAGGTAAAGTATGACTAAATTATTTTTGAAATCAAGCGAATACAATCGACAACAATGCGATTGTGAGTTAAATCAGTGCATGTATTGATTATGATTATTTTAATATTGAAACATCATCCAGATGCCACAATATGTGCAACTGAATATGCCCTGACATATAGTTTTTCAACAGTTAACATTTGATCATATTCAAGAACACACCTCAATGTATGCTTCCATGTTTTACTGCAAGCCTCTTTTGGACTTTTGGACCCTTCTTCACTCCTAGTCTCCATGGCAACTCATGAGAAACATTTGATAAACCTGTAAAAACAAAAAACGTGGTAAAATGTTAAAAATATGTCCATGAGCATTGGAGCCACTGGCTAACTTGAGGGGCTGGTCCATTTGAAATGAATTCATTTAAAATGAGGGTTTACCAAGTTCTTTCACATCCAAAGAAAGTGGCCTTGATATATTGGCATAGGCAACTTTCATAATCTTTAATATAAAATAAGACTTGATATTCGTTATTTGGTCCAAATAGATTTTCAATGGTGTGCCTTAATGGTAAGTCACTCTGGATCATGAAAAGAGAAGTGTTGTCTTGGTCCACGTGTTGGACATGCTTCATTTTGTCCCAAGATCTCTACATTCTCAATGGAGTTCACTGAATATAAACCTTGACAGAATGGTCAGAGTTTCCCACTTTCTCATATGTGAATGGTGGTGCAAGAAACATTACCTCGCAACAATTGGAGATAAAAGAAGGCAACAGCCAGTTTGCGTTCTATACGACTATTGCAGATAAAAGGAGGCAAAAGCCAGTTTGCTTTCTATAGAACTATTGCAGATAAAAGAAGACAACAGCCAGTTTGCATTCTATAGAACTATTGCATATAAAAGGAGGCACCAGCAAGTTTGCGTTCTATAGGACTATTGCAGATAAAAGAAGGCAAAAGCCAGTTTCCTTTCTATAGGACTATTGGAGATAAAAGAAGGCAACAGCCAGTTTGCGTTCTATAGGACTATTGCAGATAAAAGGAGGCACCAGCCAGTTTGAATTCTATAGGACTATTGCAGATAAAAGAAGGCAACAGCCAGTTTGCATTCTATAGAACTATTGCAGATAAAGGACTATTGCAGATAAAAGAAGGCAACAGTCAGTTTGCTTTCTATAGGACTATTGCAGATAAAAGGAGGCACCAGCCAGTTTGTGTTCTATAGGACTATTGCAGATAAAAGGAGGCACCAGCCAGTTTGCATTCTATAGGACTATT